AATAAATTATTGGCTGAATATTCTGTTTATAATCTAGTTTCTATATGTGTTCTACTCGATAACATTTGTTTTGGGGAACACTGACCCGATGCAACGCGAATGAATCTGTTCATTTGAAGATAAGCAACTGAAATTTATGCTCAGTTAAGGATAATCTTTATACTCATACGTTGTGTGTTTTTGTCACCGGTCAGGCGCTATTTGTAGGCATTTCTGGGTTACTGAGAGAACAGTAATAAAATGTTTGTTCACAAATTTTGATTGCCGATCGGTGACTGCTTTGTTAGCGTGGGTACGACCACGTAAAAATACACGTTGGTAAATGTTTGTTTCAAAGCAGGACAGCAGGACAGGGCTGTAAATCTTATTCTTATCGGCTGCAACATATATATGAGGAGCAGCAAAGAATAAACTTGAATTATGGGGATATATGAAATCAAAACAAATGCCCGGAAAAACTCTCGCGTTGCGAACAATGAATTTGAATTTTGTAAATTTACTTGCGTGCATCTAACTCGCTTCCGATTGGTTTAACAACAAACAGCTACTGTCAGAACTCACACATGCGCATTATCGTGAACCAGTCCCTTAAAAGCTTTGAAGTTCGATCATTTTTAGTCCTCCTTTGTTATATTCATTTATCATTTCTGTTCTTTTTATTTTATCACCCTTGCTGTCCCAGAGGAAATCATATAAAAGACAATTAATCTCCTTGATAACACCTGGAGGTGATGGTAAAGATGATAGGAGGTAACCAATTTGAGATACTACAAGAGATTTCACTATTGCAATTTTTCCAAGGAGAGCTGGATTTCTAGCCGACCAACTGCTCATGATTTTTTTTCATTTTTCAATTTTCTCACGAAAATTAACGTTGCTTTCGTTTACTTCAGAAGTCGAAAAATGAACGCCGCGAGTGTAGACTTTGTCCCGCGCCTAAGTCTACGCTCTCGGCTTCATTTTTCGACTTCTGAAATAAACGAAAGCAACATTAATTTTCGCTTAATAGCACTCTACGTTCTCAATTTCTAACTCATTGACCGTAACATCCTTAAGCGAACTCTCTGGTGATGCCTCGTAAACGTCTCACAGCGTAACGTCTGCAAATAAGTCATACGACGAGATGCAGATAGGACAGTGAAAAATGCCCATTTCCTTTTTTTTTGTTGTGTTTTGTGGTGGTTGTGGGAGGGGGAGGTTTGTGGGTAGGGTTGGGCGCTTATTCGAGGCTGGACGCCTATTAAGTTTTCCTCCCGACAGGATCTTCCCTCGAAACACGTTGATTCGAGTTTCAAGAAATTTTTTGGATTTAACTCCCTAAAGTCCCCTTTCCTGGGTATTTCTGAGACATCTAGAAAAGATATTGGCCAGCTCCATTCTCCGCGGATGAAGCCTTGCAAATAAGCGGATTATTACTGCAGGGGGAACCCCGGCCCGCCTTTAATACGGTCACCAATGGGCCAAAAAAAAATTGGCCGTATAAACGAGGATTTTTTTTTACAAGAAAATGGGCTCCTGATGGCGGTTTTTGCTAGGCGGCCAAAAAAAAGTGGCCTTGAGGCGGGGTTTCACTGTCTTGTCCAAACCAGTGGTATACATGTATAGGGAGTGGAAATTTGCGGTTTTCCGATGAACAACCAGTCTTTACAAGAACTTTCACTGGAAACATGTTGATTCGAGTTTCCAGCGCTATCAGTCGCCTGTTCGGTTGTTTCAGCTTTCATCCAGAGACATCTGTGAGCAAAGTAGCATCACAGTAAGAAGCTATGGCCTTATTGAAGGGAGAAAATCAAGGAGACAATGGGATGTCGAAGAGTTAACCGACGCCATTTTTCAATGTGACCTTACGATGGTTTGCTGAGTGTCAGACACACAGGAAGACTGAAGTGCGTGGAAACTTGCAAGAATACTTTGATCCTGTGTAAAATTCCAGCCCAGGATAAACGGTGGGGTATTCAATACTTCAGTGATCGAATTTAGTTGCAACACAAAGAAAATTATATAATGCCTTAAAGAACCCTGATCGCTATTTTAGTGGCTTTTTTACAATACCCCTCGTTGGGTTCGGACAGCTGTTATTACTTAAATCCCCGCCAAAACTTACTGTCTCAAACAAACTGCCCTTTTCACGGACTTATTGCTAACCTTTTCCAGGTGTCCAGTCTTATCGGAAAAGAGGTGCGGGCCTTCCGAACGCTTGGAACAGGCTATATTTGATCAAGTAATGAATACACCACTCTTTATCCTTGGCTGTAATTTTATACGAGATCAAATTATTCTCACTGGCAACTTTCCAAGCACTTCCGTCTTCCTGTGTGTCTGACACTCAGCAAACCATCGTCAAGTTACACTGAAAAATGGCGTCGGTCCCTTTTTCTCTCTAACTCTTCCTCCTTATTTTTTCCCACTCTCTTACTTCGCGTTGCACTCCACTATCTGAACACCTGGAACAGGCTACCTAATTGCGGACTTGCGGACACTTACCGTATTTATTCGATTACGCGCCTAACCCTAAATTAGCGCCCACCTCGAATAAGCGCCCAAAAAGACTGGCTGTTCACTGCAACGGAAAACCGCAGTGATCAAAGAACGACGCTTTTATTCCACAAACCAGTCAGCAAAACCTACAGACCAAAAAATGATATTTTTGCCTTTCAAGAATGTTTAGTATTCTTTTTTGATATCTTATACTCGGAATGCGCTCATAGGCTTATTGGAGATTCTACTCTGGCGGGAAAAAGTGCCCTAAAATGAGTCTAGAAATAAACTGGTCCGCAAAAACGCCGTAACATAGTCCTAGTAGGCGCGAATCCATACCTGTTTCCACCGTTTTACGGAAATCGGTCAGATTTTTAATAATAAATATATTTTTAATAAAAAGACTTTCCAAGGTGAAATGTGGTAATTGGTTTAGCAGGAAGCCAGTAAATTTTGAAACGGAGACTAACTCTCTAAATTTTCACTCCCTATATACCACTCGTTTAGACAATAATAATTCACTTATTTGCAAGGCTTCATCCGTGGAGAATGGAACTGGTCAATATTTTGCCTGAATTACCCCCTCCCCCTCTTCCCAGTACAAGCGTTTAGGAAACTGGTCAGTATTTTTCCTAGATCCGCACCTAGGGCTGGTGGCTACTTAATGGAGGTTCAACTTTATTTCATATCACAGCTTTGGATTTGGCATTCACCAACACGGCCAAAGAGATCTCTATCGTGTTCATTAAACATTTTAACATTGTTAAAATAATAATGAACAATTGTTAACTACCAGGTTTAAGCCCTTGTTCTAATCAGACATGCAAATGTTGTGGCAACTGCAGAGCCCCGCGGACCATATGTTATAAGAGACTCATGCAATGGCGTAATAATGGTTGATAGGCGCCGAAGCCTTGTGGATATATAATTCTTTATAATGATAAGTAGACTTTCCATTCACTTTCTTCGCGAAGTTTCATGTTATCAATGTGTTGTAAAATCTCCTTTGCCTTCAATAGGCATTTAAAAGTCTAAAAAACGTAAAATGTTTCCGCTCCATAATGGGCACCATGCGTATTTTACGTCAAATTAGGCTTGAACTTCCATTAGTTAGCACAATGCAATTATCTGTACTGATATACATGGTCATACATGTATACTAGCTTTGTCATTTGGTATTGGAACATAATTTAGAGCATTTTATGCGTCATTATTTTCTTCATTAACTCTGTGGCGTTTTTATAGATGATAAAAAAGAATAAAAGTGCAAAAGCCAGTCCCTCAACGAAACAGACGATTCGGTAAAGTTGAGTTGTCCACAATAATTAACAAAATAAGGCTTTGTTGATTTAGAGTTAATTACGCAGTGCTAAAAAAACTAAAAGTCTATAGGAAACGCCAGCAACATTTTTGTGTGGAATCCAACGTATTTTAGAAAGAGTTATTAATTAAAAGTAATTCACAAATTGTGAGAGTTGTTCGAACGAGCTATAATTGCTGTTTTAGCACTGAACGAAAAAATGTATTTGCACAAATAAAATTTGCTCAGAGCAAATATGTTGCAAAAATGTAAACACTGAGGAGTAAATTTAGGGCAAAACTGGTAAATGCCACATTTGTATATTATATAGTACTTAAAAACACGGGATGAAAATAAGTTGGCAAATGTGGCATTTTCTAGGTTTGCCCTAGATAACTCCTCAGGTTTTCATTTTTGCAACATATTTCGACTGCTAAGAGCAAATTTGGGCAGCTAAGATCATCGATAACAAAACGATGCATATGTGCGTGACAAAAGAAACTTAATTGTCATAAAAAGAGGGAAACGTCTTGCATAAGTTCGCGACTTTAACTCTCAATCCGTGTGCTTCCGCAAATGTTTTTATAAAATTTAAATATCACTAGAGAAATGTAATTGGCATTCAGCAATCAGTTTCTTCTGAAGGAAAAAAGAAAATGAAAACGGATATTACATTAAAAGGTTTTGCAACTTGAGGTCCTTTTTGCAAACCTGCCATCGAATCTCAAAGTAACTGATAATGGCCTCACCTGTTTTTTTTCTATACACAATCCTTAAAAAAACAACTATTTTAGCAATGAGCTTGTTATCCTACTTATCTTAAAAATAGGATTTTCCCCTGTAACAGAACAAAGAAACATGTTCTATTTTGTCTCTGTTAAAAGGCGAAGATTTTCTTAAATTTAGGATATGTAAGAGGAAATCGCTATTGATCACTTAGTGCCAAGCATCCGTTGAAAATTTCATTACACTCTACCATTAATTTTCGGCGTGCAGTCGTTTGTTGATGCAAGTAGGAAAGTTGTTTTACAAAAAAAAAAAATAGAAAATACAACAACAACAACAAACAACACACTAGCTAGGTTGCCTTCTGCTGAGTTAATTGACTAGGAGCAAACTGCCGGTGGCCAAAGTGTTGAGGAAGCCAATTTTCGATGATAAATATACTTTGCTATATGAGCTTGATACTCTGCAACTAATGTATTCAACTAAATGTCTATATTTTACATTGGGCTTGTTATACCAATTGTCACTTTCGCAACACGATTTATTAAGTCTTACTCTCTGTTGAACTCATCGACTTCATCCTAGATACTGAATACCGAACCACGACTCCTAGAAACAGGTGAGGATTCGTTTGGTCCCTTAAATCCTATCACTGCAGGTATTTTTACACCTTCGATTTTTCAATGATTCTTTTTTAAGCAGATCTTAAGGGCATTTCGTTGGAGTTTTCTCATCTTTTCTCCCGTGTATTTAAAGCATCTCTCAGCTAGCCTAATTTTGTTTCGCTGAAAACCTATAAATGAAGAAAACTCTGAGAGAACTGAGAAAAGGGAACTACTTTAAAGAGTTAAGTAGGCTATCCATGTCAAGGATTCACAACACTATGCACCGAATTACATAATTATGCATTCAGATCTAGGTTTTTTTTTAAATTTCTTTTTGCAGTTCATTTTTCACCATAAGGAACATTATTAACCTCCCTCTCCTCGTTAAATCTTCTTTTCTCACAAACGACGTTCGTGAGAGACGTTCGTGAAGAAAGCGTTATGAACGTCTAAGTGGAAGGCTTGGAACGTTACCAGTTTAATTTAACTGTCATCCTCTATCGTAAGCTCTTATGATCCGTTATTTTTTTACGCGCGCAGTCATCTGCGCCGTAGCTAGATGTACGTTGAATTTCAAAACAAAAAGCGCCTCTGTGAATGTCCAGATGAACTACTATAAGCCTCTTGACTAATAGTGTGCATATTAATTCCAGAAAAGAGTGACAATTTAGTTGCACCTTAAAAGAGCCATCGTTTTCTGAGCAAAAAGATAATACAACAAAGTTGTAAAAATGAGCGCTACAATTCCAGCTACTGGCAAGAACTCCTGTGGTATTATTGGTTATTTTGATACAGGTTGTGAATGGTATTAGAGGATCGAGCATTATATTCGCGGGTTTGTCAAAATGATGAGCTCTAGAACCATCTAATTAAACATTTATAGACATAAATAACTGATTATTTAGTTTGTCTTCTTCTATTTGTGGCAGCCATTTATAACGGGTGATTTTGTCGTGAGTCAAATAAACATGTGGGCCGTTACTTAAATGTGCCATTCGACAGTATCGGTGGCAAAGTTGATAGACCTGATGAGCGACTTCAAAATCGAATTTAATGCAGGAGCATTATATTGTTTACTAATAAGGAATTCGACGGGTGACCGGCAAAACCCTGCACGCTATAGCTAACTTCGTGGCTGATTGAACTCGTAAGGCTCATCTGATGAAACTGTATGGTTATCAATCTCATATCAAGGTGATGTTACACGATGGTCGGTTGCTAGGGTTAAGGTTCTTAAATTCAATTTTTGGCCCACAGAGGAGTAGTTTAGTTTCCAAATGAAGCACGACATTCGATCATCTTAATTAAAGAAAATTCTTCTTTAAATTTTTACTATTGTAAAGGTCATTTTTGACGTTTCTCAGTATGACGTCTATTTTAAGTAACAACATTTTTTAAAAAAATTGAAAAGCAGTGTTAAAAACGTTACAGGCATTTTGCTACGAAAAAAGAATATTTATAGCGAATACTCCATCTCAATCGAAAAAAATGGCGTAAAGTTACAACTAATTAAAGAAATTCAAATTTCCCGCGACATGACCATATACGGTCAAACTTTAGGGGTACTTAAACGCGAAAACAATGAATGAAGCTCGCAACGGTTGTGATAAACTGACATTTTTTCGGCACTCTGCTGAACGTAACTCAGTCCACCTCTGATGAAGTTTATTTTTGGGTGCTACTGATAAAGAAGGCTTCTCCACTGGTAAACGATGCTTTTTAGTGTTAATGATATGTGAAATAAATCATACGTGAACTGATGCGGAAATGAAATGAAAATGAAGAAATGATCGTCGCAGTCATTTTCGATGCCTTTTAGTGTCGTTTACTGATGGGGTCGGCGAGAAGGAGAGGAACTCCACCAAAATCAGCCAGTTAAACTTACAAGGTTTATTTTACATTGTTCCTGATGTTCTTCTCTTTCTCTATCTATCTATAACTGCTTACCCTTTTCTTCCTTCAGTTCCTTAGCAGCTCGCTATTTATTTGTTTGATGGTCATTGATAATAGGTTTACATATAATGCGTAGGATGTTGATCTGCCAACAAAAACGAGCCACAAACTTATGCTTCCTTATATAGTTAATTACTAAAAAGGTCGAAATGTTCGTTTAAAAGATAACTATCTTCCGAGGGATGTCAAATTTGGAAACAAGATGTCCCACTCTCAAAAAACACACTGTTAGTATTTATGTTTCTGCATGCAAAGCTTATTGGTAAATTGGTTATTCATTATGGTGCAATTTTAAAGGTAAACACTTAGGATGCTCTAGAACCTTAAAAGCCTAATGATCGGATATTTATTTATCGAACTTTTATTAACTTCCCATATATCTTCAAAATCGGGAAGATAAGTCCTGTAACAGTTGCATAAAATCAAAATTGTAGTTTTTGTAACTACTGCCCATGCGCCAGTAGTCACTATTGCCATCGAGTTAGTTTTCCAAAAGTAAGTAACAATAGAATATCCTGCGGAGTCAATCAGCATACAAGGATAACCAGTTTTCGGAATCTTTCGTCGATGGTCCTCGATGACAAACGAAATGCTCGGCTACCTCGTGGTCTGCTTGATATCTAGTGTAACCCAATGAAAAGACGATGAAAGCGGAATCATTTCTTCAGAAGCGTATGTTCACTTCTCATCTTTAAAATAAGTCCAGAAACCACGATATTTGTATAACAGGTTTCTCCTCTCCAAATAAACTCCTGTGAAAACGTCATCGTTACTTTGTGTAATGAAATTTTGGAGTGGACTTTCGGTCACGTGCTTGGCAACGAAGTAGTTCACAGGATCATGTTTCACCAAGGATGTTCATTTTCCAGGCAAATGACACGCGAAAAAACAGAATATTTTTTAGTTTTTGTTCTTTAAAAACTCTATATATTAAATGATGTTTCTGTTATTACAATTTATCAAACTGAAAGCACAGTCATGGTAAGCAATTTCTGAGGTTCCTCTCAGTTCTGGTGAGTCTTCCAACGCAATGTCACGAAAGATCAAAAGTCTTACGAAAATCTTCTTACGGCTGCAAAGGAGACTAGTCCATTTGCGGTGCAATGTAAAAAGGACACGGTGGAGTGACTACGTGTCCCGCGTTGACCTTTCGCTATCATTTCTATCGTCAGGCAAAAATAAAAAAAGACAAAAACAAAAAACAATCATAACATTGCCAATTTGTTGATCATTCTTCATCATTTGACGAAGTTGCACGCATTCATCGGAAAGGTTAAAAATGCGTTACGAATCATTGAGAAACGTTGCAATGCATTTTAAAGCATTCAAATGCGTTAAAAATGTATTTCACTCTTCAGCAGTAGTCACACTCCTACTTTTTGAGCTAAGGATGTGTGTGTGTGTTTTTTTTTTTTTTAATATTACTTATTAAACAAAAGTACGTTACAATACTTACAATTGTGCACTTAGATAAATGTTCCTGTATTGGCCATCAAAATACTTCTATCGATTACACATATTAAAGCTAATGTATTACATTAATATACATATAAAGCTGAGAGGAGGGTGGCACTATCATGTCAAACTTCTATTTCAAGCTGCATAATAAATTTAGATATAAATTCAGAGGTGTCTGTTTTCTTTTGCAATGATTTACATCCATAGTGGTACTGCTTTACATATAGCAGAAGAAGACACAAATCCTTGGTTTGTTTATTGGAAAGATTGAAAGCTAGGGTTGGTAAATTGAGAAAAACTTGAAGCGGCGTGAGTTTAATATTGGTTTTGTGAGATATATTGAACCACTGAAGGGATTCGTCACATAATTTCAGAAAAGAGCGACATTCAAAGAAAGTATGTTCTATAGAATCGTTTTCGCCACATCCGGAAGGGGAATGCCCCTGCAGAGTTGATCTTGGCGTATTTTGAGGGCTAACAATTCAACTGATAGAACAAACAACAGAGGGTTCAGAGGGCACCCTTGACGGAAGCCACGAGAAACTTGGAAATAGTTGGTCATAAATCCAGCATTCAGCACGCCACTTTCAACATTGTTGTAAAGAATGGATATCCATTTCCTGATATTTGGGCCGAAGTTGTATAGTTCAATACACTTGTGAATAAAATTCCACTCAATAGTGTCAAAAGCCTTTCGAAAATCAATGAATAGAAGGATACCTGGGAGTTTTTTAGCATCTGCGTATTCTATGATGTCATTCAAAAGCCGAACATTTTGGCCAATGAATCTACCTTTAACAAAGCCTGTTTGATCAGTATGTATGAGCGAAGATAAGGTTGACTCAATTCTTTGACCAATAACTTTTACCAGGATTTTATAATCAACATTAAGTAGAGTTAGTGGACGCCAGTTAGACGTATTTATCTATTGAGTGAAGAGTAGTATTCCAGTCACCAACAATAATAACTTTGGACGTGTTTGTGTTAGAAACAATAACAGTGCATAAATTCTGAATAAAACAACATTGGTTTTGAGGGTCACAAGGAGCGTACACAGAGGCTAAAAAAAGATCCTCATCGCCCTCCCTAATTTTAACAATGACTAGTCTACCATCTGGATCAATAAGCTGGACGCTAGATGAAAACAAAGAATTTGGTCTCTGTAATATGCAAGTACCTTCAGAGTGTTCTGTACCGTGTGAGAAAAATACTTTCCCACCCCATTCTGTAGCCCAAGAGACTTCGTCTCCTTTCAGTGAGAATGTTTCCTGGAGACAATAGAAATCAGCTTTTTGATTCTTTAGATACGAAAATAATGCCCTTCGTTTGACATGATTGCGTAATCCCCTTACATTCAGTGATAGGAATTTGATAAGTGTCATACTGTATTATCACCTAAAATCTTACACCTAAACTTAAATGCACAATAGTTATGCTAATATTAGGTTACGTTAACTAAACTCAACAGCAACGAATTAATCAAGAAAAAGAAAACAAACAAAGAAAAAGCAACAGAATAGATTAATAAGAAAAAGCAAAAAGAAAAACCTAACTTTACAACAAAAACTAATAAAGTACAAAAGTTTTTTCAAAAAAATACGCTTAAGAGACTAACCTTCGTACAATCTAAGCCTATGGCGAAATCGACCTCCCGTAATTATTGCATGGATGTTTGTTAAGCATTTATAATTCATCAAAATCATCTTCAGAGTAAATTCTAACAGGATTACCTGATGGTGAAGGATAAAGCTAAGGATGTGTGGTGTTATGACGCTTATTTTGTCACGAATAGGTGGTTTCACGTTACGTCATCGCCGCCATGCTGGTGGACGATAAACAAAAGATTGCTCATTAGCTCGTTTTGTTTGTCCACCAGCATTTGTTCATTTGACCATTGTTATTTGTGTCTCCCGAGATTGCATGAAAACCATCTATTACGTCAAAGAGACTGTGACGCAGCTCGAGAAAGACAAAACGGCCCTGGCCGATCAGTATACTTTGGTCACTCCTTTACCTTATTTATATAAATGACTTTCACAATTGCTCAAAACTACAAGATTTTCACCTCTTTGCAGATGATGCAAATTTATTCTTTAAGCAAAAGGACCTTAAACTTGAAAGCGAAATTAACAGTGAACTTGCTAAAGCATATATTTGGCTATCTGCAAATACGCTTTCACCAAATATTGAAAAGTCAAATTTAATGTTTTTTTTCATCCAGTACAAAAACGAATTCCCAAAAAGGTTATACTATTTATAAATAATCAATCATTAACTGAAGAAACTTCCATTAGATACCTTGAAGTTTATCTTTACCTGGATTTATGAAATCCGGGTTAGAAACATTTTGTAATTTCTCTCAACTTCCACTGTCTTAGCTTGTTTATGTGTTGTTTGCTTAATGTCAGTTTTTTGGTTGTTTTGTGTTAGGGATTTGTGTAGAAGTGGCTGTAGACAGAATTTCGCGAACTTCTATCTAACCACCTCCCCTCTCCCTCTCTCTTTGGTTATTTTTTACGCCCCTACCCACAATTCCCTGTCTAACACAAGCGACAACTATTTGAAGTCAGTACGAGCGTAGAGCTGGTTTGGTGCCGTTTAGCAGTTCACATTTCGTTATTGGTCACCTTGAAGAAAGTTTCCCGAAGACCATCATGTAAAGCTATGAGTTGGGACAAAGTTAAAACGATTCGCAGAGTCTGCATCGTCCAATATCGTATTGTATTGTATTATTGCGGCCGGTCTATGCTGGTCTGCCAAACCGTGTGACCTTACATCCGGGAACCTAAATAAGACGAGTGTAAGAGGAAAGTCAAGAGGTGTTTATCTGCCAATAGGCTGAGTTTTTCCGAGTTATTTGATGATATTTCGCTTGTGTTATGCGTGAAAAACTTATGCGTGGTTGTGGATAGTGACGTATCAGTGCCGCGAAAGTGTGTGATTGTGTGCGATTTCCGCACGGTGTTGACAGGCAGAATTCAGTCGGGTATATGGTCTAATAGTTGAACTGTTGCACCAAAATATTCTGTGTGAGCGATAAAAACTTTTCGTCGGTGTTTAGCTTAGCTGATTGTGCCTTGAAAAACCAATTCTCGATTCAGGAAAATTGGATCTGGGTCAGTCTAGTTTCAGCGGGCTCTTGTATGGCTTTGATCCATTTAGGCTGGTTTTTGCAGAAAAGAATTGAAGGTGAAAATTTGTGTACTATGTTTCAGTTTGTTGTCTATTCCATACGAAATCCTGTCGTTTATCGGACCGCGAAAAAGTATCGTTTTGCTAACTATTAAAGTTGGCACGTAAACGTTAACCAGGTACTTTTTGGCTGCAGTTCACTCAACTTAAAAATTCAGTCTAGACTGAAATGACACCGGTTTGAAACTTCACGGAGTCAGATTACTGAATAAGTGTTCTAAAATTTGCGTCATTTTAAATAAAGGAGTTCAAGCTCATAGTTACATCATGGGTAATCAGGGCAAGATGGCGGGAAATTAGAAGACTATTATTAAAATTCAAAGCCAGCTAATTGTTTTTGATGCTCTCTCTCTTTGAAAAGAGTAACTTACGAATTCAAAGAAACAATACACTAAATCTGGAGTGCATAGAAGTCCATGATCAGTTTTTAGTTACTCTTCTTAAAGAGAAAGCATCAAATTTATGAATTCAGGAAGAAATAGCTGGCTTTGAATGCTTATACAAATCTTTCAGTTTCCTGCTATCTTACCCTGATTACCCATGATGCAACTATGAGCGTGAACTCCTCTATTTGGACTGGTTGGAAATGCCTCTAAGGACCACGCCACTAACCTACTGCCCTACGTCAGATAATGGCTTTTAATCGACCTTTGAATGATTTTTTTATTGTTATAAATTGCCAAGTAGTCGGAATCAGTTGACTTCTTGGCTAACCCGGTTTTCAAAAATCCAGGTATATATCGATTCAAATATTAGTTGGAAGAGCCACATTAACTATATTGCCAAAAAAAAATCAAAAGAAGTATAAGTATTCTCTCTAAGCTTCGCTATTTCCTAAACACAAAAACGTCTGTATTACACCTTAGTACAGCTATTCTTAAAGTAATCTGTAATAACCTGGGGTAATCATATCAGTCAACTTTGCAACCTTTATATAATTTGCAAAAGAAAGCTACCGTACAGTCACGAATCACGTTAACTTTTGAAGTCATCTGGTAAATCACTTAGGTGATGAACTGATCAAGTCCATCAATGATTCCTAGTGGTTGCTGGACTACTTAGGCAAGAGTTGGTCTGAAATGACCGTGGGCCGGCGGTTGAAAGGAAACAAAAAGTATGATGATCAAACTGACGATTCCCTACTTTTTTTTTTTTTTTTTTATTTTATTTGACGGCTACAAAGTTGAATGGCAATGAAAGTTATTGCTACAAAATCGAAGCTCTCGCCCGTCTACTTTACCCGATTCTGGGGTCACGAGCACTCTGACACTCGGCTCGCCATTGCAACAATGACTAAAATTTGCTGAACCTGTGTTACAAATTAGACAGGAAGCTTTCCTGATTTCCAGTGCCGGATCCAGACCTTGAGATAAGGTGCGACCCCGCAGATAAGGAGGGACCATTAGATAAGGAGGAGGGGACAGTCACCAAAGAAAGTTTGGTCTAAAAATAAGGAGGCGGGGCCCCCGGGCCCCTCCCCTGGATCCCCCACTGATTTCATTTTCCAATAAGCCAACCTCTCATTGGCAGATACTTTGACAGATGATAACAACCTATCAGATCTACTTCTCAGCTCGTTTCAGTTACAGGTGGTCGCAGAGGTCAAGTACACCGGCGGAACATGACATTGGACTCGGTTACATTATATAACAATGACAAACAGAGACCTATTTTGAACCATCTTGACAGACAATTTACATGTACTTGTGTAGAGTTATCCAATCTTCACGAAATCATCGGTGGAAATCTCGATTCACACGAACTGAAATGTTAGAAGGTCACGCGGCACAGTGAATTTATAATTCACGAATTACGGCTATAATTCACGAGTTTTCTCCGATTCACGCTCTGGTTACCGGTCAATTCACAGATCACGCGAAACCCCTTCCAGACCCTGACCAAGTGCAAAAACAAAAGACGATATCGATGCGAATCGCTTATGGTTTACTTATTTTGTTCGATGTTCTAAGTAGAAAACTAGGCTTCTCCAGTAACTGCGTTTCTTAAGGTTTTTAAATCACTGAGGAGATATAAGGAGTAGGTTTAACTATGGCACAAATAAGCTTAAAGCCGACATTTTGCGACGCCGCCACTGGTTTCCCCGCGAAATGACGTCTGAGAAACAAGCGCAGAAATTCCATCCTGATGACGTGTCACCAACCAGATCTGGGTAGTGTTTCAGATTGGTTGAGGCAAATATTCCACGCAGCACGACCAATCAGGAGCACTATCGAGATCTGAGTAGTGCCGTGTCATCAGTATGGAATATCTCTGCCCGTTTCTCAGACGTCATTTCGCGGGGAAACCAATGGTGGTGTCGCAAATTTTTGCCTGTTTTCTCAGACTAGTTTTTTTTTTTTTTTTTTTTTTTTTCGCAACGAAGAGGAGTTAGTAGGGTATAATTAGGTAAGACACTTTTTCAGCGACTTCGAAAGCAAACAACTAAGGTTCGTGAGTGAGGTTTTCGGTTTTCTTTCCTCTTTTTTTATTCTCAGCTCGGTAATTTCTTTTTTATTCAGGGGGCTTTCAAATAAACGGCGTCCAAGGGATGGCGATTCATTTCGGCTGTTATGAGCTAATGATTTGTTTCTAACCTTTGACTCTTATCATGGAAAATTTGCTGTACAGCTGTATACAGCTTGTTTATGATCACGAAACGGCTCATAACAATCTTGTAACGTACTTAAAACATGAAAAGAGGCTACTGAACTGACAGGACATCAGAAAAGAATGAGTGCGCGTTTTAACCAAATACTTTTCTATACTTTAGCGGGGAGTTCCAGACATGACGGCAAGAATCGTCTTCCGTATCTCAATTGTGGCTCTCCTGGTCTACAGCGCAATAACTCAAAAATGTCCTGCAAGTGGAAGAACCGAGAGCTCCATCCTTGGCTGGATGTTGCGAGGACACGTATACGACACTCTTCTAGCGGAACTTCCCTTTACGTGCGTATTCGAGTGTCGCGAAGACAATCGATGCCAAAGTTTTAACTGGGTAATCTCTCTTCTCACCTGTGAATTTAACAACAGGACAAAGGAAGCTAGGCCAGAGGACTTCATTAAAAACCCAGAGAGATCTTACTATCCACGCGATTTAAAGCGAGGTGAGCCAGTATACCAGGGAGGGGGGATTCCCTATAATGGCCTATACGGGGATGATAAGACTGGAAGTGGACTAATTAAAATTTTGCTTGAACTTCGCTTGAACATTTAAGCTCAAATCTGTCTTTTGGAGTAAATTGAAGACCGATGCTCAGATGTCAATAAAAGCAAAGGTGGAAGTTCCACGGGAAAGGCTTTTTAGTAACAAATTTATCTGGGAACTTTTAAAGTCCTTGTGGCGAGTACGAGAACTGAATTTTGACAGCCGTGTTTTCAAAATTAGCATTTTCTCTTAAAACTGAGGTTTTATTTTTGTTTTTACTAATCGTATCATTATAGTTATCACTTACTTTAGCATTATTTACCTATTATAAGTCACATTTATTAACAGCATGGACGCAAGTGGTGCCAAAAACAAAATTTGCTGGGTTCGATTGTTGGAAGAGCTTCTTTTGCTTTTACTTTTACAGTTATTATTTGTTTGTTTATATATTGTAGATTTCATATTTGTATATTTTCTATTCCCAACTGACCTTTTTCACTTTCCTTTTCCTTGTTGCCGTTAGCCCCTAGGGCTTCCCACACCCCCCTCCCCTCTTCCTCTCTCTCCGACTTCCCACTTCGGCATTAAGTAAAATGTATGCAGGGTAAAAGCACACTGATAAATTAACATAGATCTGTTTCTGACCTTTTAGTTCCCCTTGGTTCGATTCAAGAATTGCCAGCTGAGACTTGTGACGAAATAAAGAGGAGTGAAGGACAGGCTGTTAGCGGGAAATACTGGTTTTCCACCATAAAACCTGATACATCTGTTCTGGCTTATTGCAATATGAAGACCACCGGTGAGTTTCGTCAGTTATATAATCGGCGATTGATTTAGCTTTTCTTCAATTTTTCACCACGCCGCATCGCTGGCAAAAGACAAAACTTGACAAAGAAATTTTTATCAAAAACTCACATGTTAGATAGGATGATTGCTCTTTGGGTCTTATATTAGGGTTAATGCTCTTCAATAATGTTTGTTTGAATGTGTAGACATTGACGAATGCAGTGCTTCTTCTCATGTGTGTGACATTAATGCCAACTGCTTCAATACTCGTGGATCTTATTACTGCACCTGTAAGGCAGGATACACTGGCGACGGAAAAACTTGCCAAGGTAAAATAAGATACTTTAGCTAATTTCAACAGGACCAGTTGAATATTTCCATTAAGAAAGTGTTTTTTTTTTTTTTTCATGTTGTTCTTCTTAGACAATGACGAATGCAGTGTTTCCCCTTCTGTGTGTGACATCAACGCCAACTGCTCCAATACTCGTGGATCGTATTACTGCACTTGTAAGGCCGGATTTACAGGCGATGGAAAAAAATGCCAAGGTAGGAGAAAATACTTTAGCTAAGAAGTTAGATTACTGCTGTACCATCAGAGGTGGCAGTTTCGTAGAGACGTGTGATATCATTTAAGATGGCGGCTAATAATGAGATCGCGGCAATCCATCGAATCCGGGTTCCTCTCTGGTACCTGGACGCTTGTGTTTTCTACTCAATTCGTTGTTCAGGTTTAAAATCCTACACTTGTTTTCTCTGTAAAAGAAGGAAAGGGATGTAGGATGTTTCGTGTAACTGTTTACACGAAGTAATACATATGTATACATTGGGGAGTGTTACATGATCTCGGGGGCGGGTAAGCTGTAAGGTCGGCCATATCATGTTGCATTAAAAGTAATTCTGTTTTGGCTCAATCCGTGTCCATCGTGCTATAAATGCCCCACCTTGCACGTGCACATTCATTGTACGCTTTTACCCAGTACTTCTGCTACAGTCGAACAGTCGAAACAAAATTTAAGAAAACGGCCATGGTTTTCAGCAAACGACGATTTTATTCATGTACGCAAAACAACAATAGAAAAATAACAAAAATCCAAAAACTCAAACAGTGAAAAGAACGTCTTTCCGGCTAAATAAGAAACTAAACAAGCTACCTATAACGGACTACGCTAAAGTAGAAAATAAAGAACAAAACGGTGGCAACCACACGCAAGCCATGACAGCTCCACTTTTCAGGCATTTAAATAAACACGGATACGAGTTTTCCATGATAACAACAAGGACTTCAAGTCACGTCATTCTTTTGTTGGAGGAGAAAGAGGTCCGGTTGCTCTCTTTAAGTCTTTCGTCGAGCAAAGACCTCTATTAAAACATCCATGCGATGGTCTGTTTCTTTCTTCCTCGGTAGCAAACGAACCGAAAATTTAAAGATCTAGTTCAAACTAAACCACTCCTGTGCGAAAATACCAGAACTAACATTTTAATGAAAGTGTCCGTAAGTGGTAGTACTAGCCTTAAAGAAAGTGAGAAAAAAGTTTACGAATCATGGTGTAAGGAAAACAACAGTCAGCAGGCTGAAGAAAGCAAACCTGATATATTGTAACTTCAGAATATATCGCCACTGCCAAACGCCACAGAGGTATAAATTTCCTCAACGACTACGATGAAGCCAACGAAGAAGAGCGACGATGACTCTCTCTTGCAATATCCAAATGAATAATAAAAACCCCAGCGCTGAGAAAAAACAAATATTATATTAATACTAGCGGGAGTTTCGGACATCACAACAACTGTGCCTCCACTCACCCATCTAAAAATGGCCGCAAAAGCCTGAAATCAGCGTAATCAAAAGAACAACGAGAAAGCGTTCATACGTTGGAACCACGGGAAAAGTCGCACTAACCTCCGCTTACTTTTTAACCCGGTTTTCTAAACACCTCTTTGCAAATTATTAACGAACATAAGTACATACGTTAACTCAGGGCACGCTTACGACCCTTTTTGCAAGTTCCTTTTTCAAACATTTTTTTTTGCCTTGCCAGTGTACGTCAATTACCCAACTACACCGCAGTATATTCTTTTTCAACAAGCTTCGTTAACTAGACTAGTCATGTTGTTTGACAAGAAGCCTCGCGCTCTGTGTGCCTACTTTTTAGACTTGGACTAATGTACCACTGGTTCCCATTCCTGTGACGTCAATTCCGTTTGCAAGAATACCGTGGGTTCATACAAATGCTCGTGTAATGCTGGGTACACAGGAGATGGAAAACCTTGCAATGGTATTTGAGATACAATTGATCCTCCATGTGCGACCACCTCTCCTAAGCGATCCATAAGTCGAGATGGAGCTACACATATCGTAACTTTGAAATTGCACACAATAAATTGTTTTTCAAAGAGACGACCTACTCTAATCTGAAGGTTCTTAAACAAGACGCCGAAACCATTGAAGGTGCAATGTTTGTGTGCAAAAGCTCAACACTGTCATGTCATTTTGGAAAAAAGCCTAAAACCATACTTGTTAAAACATAAAAACAACAAACAAACAAGAACAAAAAAAATGGATACATTCACCTTAGCGACCAGATGTAAACCATCAGGTAGATTTAATATTAGTTATTCTAACGCTTTACGTAACTTACAATTCTCATGCAGATATCGACGAGTGTTCTGTCAACTCTCACAGCTGTGACGTTAATGCGGTTTGCAGCAATACTGTTGGATCGTACGCATGCGCATGTAAAGCAGGATTCACAGGCGATGGAAAAACATGCTCTGGTAGGCTGTTGCGGTGTTGTAAAACACGCTTCCAAAACAATGTGTGTGCCTGTATTTTTTGTATTCGATCTTTACATTTAAACATGTACAAGATGATCGGAATATAACCTCAATGGTTCGAAATAACAATTACAGTAAAACTAGAAATACATATCTCTCGCAAAATTTCACTAAACTCGGTCTTGCACAATTGTCAAGCCCAGCCGGTTAGAAAATGATTGGGTGACCAGGCTCTAATCTGTCGTTAGACCTGTGACTCCTTTCTCTCCTGTCTTTCTTTATTCTATTTGATTTTTAAATGCGTATTTTAAAGCATGTTCAGCATTATTTCGGCTTAACCTCAAATCAAAGATAGATTTTGGGGACGTTCAAGGTTTTTTTCCGTAAAACCCAAACTGAAACGCACGTCCGACAAACATATCTTAACGAAATTGATCTGTAGTATGCCAACCGAGCAAACGGGGTACTTTGCTGTTATATTTAATAAAAATTCGAATTGAATCGTTATGCATTTCAGAAAGGAAATTTACTCCCTCGAATACTCCTTCTTACTATAGCTGTTCTGATATAGAGCTAAGAGGAAGTCTCACGTATAAGCTATCGTGAGACGTCCTCGCCTTTTGAGATTCTTTCCTTTCGAATTGTGTTTATTACGTGTAATTTAATGTTTCCCCCTCCGTTTATATGTAAAGAAGGCAAAACAAATCGGATTACCTATAGTATATAGTTAAGCAGGGTTAACGCATACAGAAAATGAGAGGAAATGACCTTATTGATCTTGATTTTGCTGCATCACTAAAAAAGAAGGCTTCCTCACTTTTTGAGCCGTTTGAGTTTAATTACGTTTGTATGATATGTTCGCTTTTAGATTGAACAGCAACGACAGCAATGCAAGAGTCTTTTGTGCTCTTCTCGCTTTCTACAGTTAAAGTTTTGGTTTGGCAGGAGTTTAAATTAATTTTAATATTGACCTTATGTAGAAAGCAAATAGAAAAGCGGAGCCAAGCATCCAGTTTATATTATCGGATACGTGGAGCGATGGTGATTGTTCAAACCTGCGATCATTTTTTTAGGCCTAATAATATACACGAAAAAAACTACTCAATACCTATTGGCTGAGAAAGGAGTGCATTTCTTCTGTTACACGAGTGCAAATTTGTAACACAAGTGCACATTACAAATGGTTTCTGATTGGCTGAAAACAAAAAAGAAACCAGCAAGAACCAATCAGATTAGAGCTGTTTTAACAACAAAATTTAAGAAAACGGCCATGGTGTTTAGCAAACGACGATTTGATTTCATGTACGCAAAACAACAATAGAAAAGTTAAAAAAAAATTCCAAAAACTCAAACAGTGAAAAGAACGTCTTTCCGGCTAAATGAGAAACTAAACAAGCTACTTATAACGGACTAGGCTAAAGTAGAAAATAAAGAACAAAAACGGTGGCAAACACACGCAAGCCATGACAGCTCCACTTTTCAGGCATTTAAATGAACACGGATACAAGTTTTCCATGATAACAACAAGGACTTCAAGTCACGTCATTCTTTTGTTGGAGGAGAAAGAGGTCCGGTTGCTCTCTTTAAGTCTTTTGTCGAGCAAAGACCTCTATTAAAGCATCCATGCGATGGTCTGTTTCTTTCTTCCTCGGTAGCAAACGAAACCGAAAATTTAAAGATCTGGTTCAAACTAAACCAATGTGCGAAAATACCATCCGGCTAACATTTTAATGAAAGTGTCCCGTAAGTGGTAGTACTAGCCTTAAAGAAAGTGAACGAAAGTGAACGAATCATGGTGTAAGGAAAACAACAGTCAGCAAGCTGAAGAAAGCAAACCTGATAAATTGTAACTTCAGAATATATCGCCACTGTCAAAGGCCACAGAGGTATAAATTTCCTCAACGACTACTATGAAGCCGACGAAGAAGAGCGACGATGACTCCCTCTTGCAATATCCAAATGAATAATAAAAACCCCAGCGCTGAGAAAAAACAAATATTATATTAATACTGGTGGGAGTTTCCGACATCACAACAACTGTGGCTCCACTCACCCATCGGCGATGGCAGCGTCGAAAGAAAACAAATGAGGATGATAACAAAATTATTTTCCACTAAAAACTAAACGCAGCAAAACGGTTTACAAACTCATCAAAATAGCCAACAAAACTGTTTACTTGAGATGTACTTGTCGACTTTTTAATGTCCTTTGAAAAAACTCAATGCTTCGCATGTCTTTTGTTTGACTATCCACAGAGGTCCAAAAAGCAAGTTACAAGCGATTCTGAAGATTCACACCCGTACACTCCTTAGCTCATAAACATCAAGACTTCATATCAAACATAAAAAACCTTCAAAGAACGCTTGAATCGGTTATGCAAATTGTTTAAATTCAACCACTTATTAGTACTTAGCCTTTTGAATGAATGAATGGTCAGGAGCACGAATACTGAGTGCAGGTAAGGTGTCTCTCCCAACTTTATAAACTTTTAATTATTATTATCACTCATTTTTTCAGACGTAGACGAATGCACAGCAGGTACCCATGATTGTCATACGTCAGCTACTTGCACGAATACCAAAGGTTCTTTTACTTGTTCCTGTAACCCTGGTTACACGGGCGACGGCAAAACCTGTAGCATCGGTAAGCTGTCTTACCCTACTAGGAAGTAAATCTCTCTGGATTGCTTGTGTTGTAAATCTACCTTTGTATTCCTTAAAAAAACACACTGGCTAGTAAGTACACTTCGATGATCAATGCTCGTAAAAGGATAAAGAAAAAGAAATGAAAATGTAATTGGGAGCTGGAGGCACGTTGATTGGTAGGAGCTGCAGGTAAAGTGTCTCCTAATTGGTCGCATGAAACAATGATATTTCATTCTTCCAATTGTTTTAGTAATAATTATTGTTTGGGGTCAGGGAAACGCACCATTAATGACTTCTCTTCCGAGCAGCTGACAATTGATTCCACGGCTGCCATACTTCACAATAACATATCATAATGCCTTCAAACTCAACAGTTCTGTAGTACACGAAAAGCCATACTACCAAATCCAAATTATTCATTCATTGGAGTCTTAAGATCCAAGGACGGCGTCACCTTTTTCCCTTTCGCCGATGATCGTTGCCACTATTTTTACCACTGATAACCTAGCCTTTATGTAATAAATTCCCTGAAGGCGAATAATGTTTTTTTAATTAGTTCTAGAAAGAGCGTACCATGCGACAAGTCTCCGTGCTGCGAGCCAAATTTTAATAAGACGAAGGACTTCTTCGAAAGTTGAAGATAATACTTGAGAATGTAAGCAATAAATCTCCGCCGGCGGTCCGGTCCGGAAGGAAATCATGATATAATGTGACAGTTCTATTGTCTTTAAAAGAGAAAAAACAGATAACGCTCGAGAGTGCGCATAATCGGAGCGCTGTCCCTTTAAGCGATTGTTTTCCTAACTTGTCTCTAAGGTGTGTTAGGAATGCCAGTACACCAGACGACAACAATCAATGAAAATCAATCTTTGATTTCAATCAATATAATCAATAAAAATCAATAAGGATCTATTGATTTATATTGATTGGCTTAGCCAATCAACAAAAACCGATAATTACTCACCGATTATGCAACAGTAAAAACCCTAGCCTCCCACGCAGACGTTCTTAGGGGTTCGTCACGCGTTCCTGTCCCACTAACGACGTTAGTAGAACAGGGATGCGTAACGAACCCCTAAGAACGTCTGCGTGGGAGGCTATAAAAACCCGGGTAGGCATTAGCTTAAATGCTCGTTAAACGTCGGTCGCAAGCACAACAAAACTGTTACGTCATGTCTGTGGAAATTTCCATTTCTTGTGTAGTCATGGAGCATCACATTGTCCTTAAAGTAAAGGAAGGGGAAGCGTTTTCCGTTTCCAAGAAGAGGGGACAACTGAGGGAAGAATGAGGGGAGAACGAAGGGAACTGAGGCCAGCTTGGCCATCTCCAAGCCGATCTTGTCACCCCACTTTATCCACATCAAGTAGATATTTCCGCATAAGTACAGTAAACGGAGAAGTAAAACAGTCTGTAGAATAATTTAAACAAATCACACTACAGCCAATAAAATCGATGTAAATCATGAAAATCAATGAAAATCAAAAATCACTCAAGACTGCGGCTTTGATTTTTATTGATTTTCAACATCAATCAATTAATTGCTATTGATTTTTATTAACTATTATTGATGTTATTGATTATTAATTTTGACTGAATATTAATGTTATCGTCTGATAGTACAATGTACAAGCATTTGTGGTACTAAAAGTCGAGGCCCCTGTGTGTCCTGTCATGATTGACTGTTCCTAGAGATCAGCAATGACGAGATCATTTTCGCTATTCCCCTCTTTATCTAACATGGTATCCGATTCTTGACTCTCCTCTTCACTGCCCAACAACTCACTTCCGTTGTCTGGACTTTGATGATGATGATGATGATGATGATGATGATGATGATGATGATGATGATGATGATAATAATGATGATGATAATGGAAATTTTATAGCGATCGGACAAGGAAAAAAACACTTTTAAGGCGATTGAAAACTTTCGGTATGGCCTCTGAAAAACTGTATCGGAACACCTTAATTAACGCACGGAAAAAGACAAAAACGAATTCCGAAAAATTGTTACACTTTGATCTGAAAGAATGTGACACGAAAATGACTTCATCTCACACTACACCTCTAAACTTGCACGTACACCTGCAGTCACACCTGTGCACCGGCATATTAAAGCCTCCGTATGCCACTTGTTTCTTTAGTTCTAATTAAGTGAGCTTTTAAGGTTTGTAACAGCGCATGTTATCTACCATAAAACGATGCTACAAGGCTGAATCAGCAGACATCCATTTTGCAAAGTATGTACCAGTGCGTGTCAACATCAAGGAAGCATAAAGTTCCTCCAATAAACGCCATAAAGGATTTTTTTCACGCAACAACGATCTGTTTTGTAAAGCAAGGATATCGTGCTCCTTCACTCCCAGTGAGCAGATTCAACAGACCTTGGCAGAGTAATTTAGACAACGTACAAAAAATGGTTCTTTAAGGCTGAAAAACCTGAGTCTCTCTACCCTTTCTTTTGTTCAGCTATCGCAAAAACAAAAACAAAAACACCAGCAAACAAACAAACAACCATTAGGAATAGTTGGGCACGTGATTAAGTAATTGTTTTTCCTCCTAGCTAACTGTGACTGCTGGCGCAGCCGGTCCAGAAGTCCTAGCAGAGGCTGGGGATACTCGACTGATCCTAGTGGCAGTGGAAGCGTTGACGCAATCGATTTCCAGACAAATGGTGACGTCATTTTGTTAGGGTACCGTCTGTGGGGAGTCAGCAGCGGTTCAACTAGTTACCAGGTCACCATTCGCTTGTACCGTGGAAGCAACTTGATCGCAGAAAAGACTGGGTCCTATGCTACCAGTTCCAGTGTCAAGACATTTGAGGTGCATTTTTCCCAAGTGATTTCGATCCGCTCTGGTGTCACATACACTGCAACAGCTAGAATAGTTACAAGTACTTCTTCTTTTGCTCATACGGATGGCGTGGCAAGTGCCTCGTGTTCTGGGGTAACAGTAAACTTCAAGTCTAAATCTTCAAAAGACTCAAACGGTTCTAGCCAGTCGATAGGTCAAATACCAGTTTTGATTTTCCGTTCTTCTCGATGCTAAAAAGGGGAATAACCATATGAGGAAAGAAGGGAGGGATTCTAAAATTCTGTAAAGCAGTGGGGAATAATGACTGTAAAGACAATGATCATATAGTGGCCTAGCAATGCTGTCCTCATTTTTGACGACTTAACGCACCTTGATTTAGGCTGTTTTCACTCTATACCGGATGGCTACCCAATGTAGTATGAACAGCAATGGCACAGAACTGGAACAAGTCGTTCACACACATTGAACCTCAAGCTCTTGCCCGAGCGGTTGGCCGAGAGGGTTGTGGTGAACTAAATCCCAGTCTTCACTCTATTTACTTCCGTCTCAGTGGGTTGAAGTCCTCGCTTCTAGTTAATCACTTCCGCTGCTGTTCGGATACCCATTCACACTGCACCCTATTGTGGCATAGAACCTATAAGATATGAAACGCTACATTTTCGAGATCGACGCGGCGCATCTTCCTCCGTTGTGACAGAAAACGCACCGAAATTACTCCGTTTTTCTGTGTGAATGAGAGCCCTATCAGGTATCAGCAGTATGGTTTTCGTGCCGGCGCTAGAGCTGGTATCTTGTATAGTGTTAACATAGCCTAAATAAGTAACTCGCGATCACAGCCTGTTTGGCTGTGATGGGTTATATAATTACTTGATCTACAAAGTAGAACATTGTAGGATTTGACGTATTTAAAAGTAAAAAATAATTTCAAAAAAGTTACCATTTTGATGAGCAAAATTTCATAATAACTGGAAGTGAAATATCAGGAGCTTATTTCTGCTATATTTCTGTATCTTTATTTGCCGGAGATTTAGCTGCTGCCCGTATTATCGGGGTGTCCGTAATATAGAAGCAAGGTGTCGGTAGAGCAAGAGTTGACTGTAGTTGATTATAATTAAGGACGGTTTAGTATGCATACATTAGAGCTCATGAAGGTGCACCGGTGCACAGACCAATTGACCATATAGCGTGAGCTTTACTCGATTTCTGCGCTTTATGAAGCATTTGAGCTTTATAAAGCAGTTGACTTTGTACTTTTTCTCTCCTTAATTAAGATGGTTGTCCATGCACCTATCTTCATTCCCTGGATGGAGAGAGATAATTATATTTCTCTGATTTAGAGATAAGTGTTGTATTTAGGTATTCTTCATGCCTTGTTAGCGGCTCCTGCAGAAAATCATCGGGCCGGAACTTTCCATGAACGAGAACATGAAAAACATGAATACGGTAGTTACTCGAATAAGCGGCGCGGGGCTTATTAAGTTTTTCGCGTCTCAAATGCGGCGCTTATTCGAGGGTGGTGCTTAGTAATTTTTTTGTCCTAAATGTGGCGATAAATCGAGGGTGGTGTTTTTATTCTAGTAAATACGTTACCATCACATTGTCTCCACAACTTTTCAAAGAAAAAAATGATTTTGCTTCGTAACTTTATTTAGTCTCAAGATTATTAGCTTTTAACCTGATTTTTGTACATCTGAGGGCCGGATTGTTCGAAGCTGGGTTAAGATAACCCGGGGTTAGTGGGAAATTTGAACACAGACATGAGAGCTTAAAAAACAAATTCAGTTTAATTCTCTTTGTCTACAATTTGATGATTGGATACTCTAAAAAGAATAGAGAAAACTGTCCGAAAGAATGCTTTTCATGCTAAGAAAAAGAAACCCAGGTTTAAATTTAGCTCCGGGTTAGCGCTAGCCGGCGTTCTAACAATTGGGCCCTGAGAATTGTCCATATTGGCTTACTTGCTTGTTGTAATGTATTGTGAAAGCTGAAGTCTTAAAAATGTACAAATGGGAAATTACTGATAATACTTTTTATAATAGATTATACTATTTAATCGTCAGCTTTGGACCTTTAAGTCTAAAATAGCCTTTTTCTCTCCCTTATCAAAGAATATCTCTGTCGGTTGAATTGCTAGAGCTTGTTTGAGAGGCAAGGCGCGTTTTGCTCTCAACATCTTAAGCTGTTCAAGCGTTATGATATTTTTTCGCTTCAAAGCAATATTTTAAAAGCTGTGAAAATTTGCATATAAACTTGATTCTTGTGGATAGATCTGTCGCTTAACTTTGTCTACTATACTTTATGTGTAATTTTTTTTTTCGATTAAGTGGTGGTCGAGACGGTACATTTATCACGTTAATCCGCATTTAGTGTTCACCTTAAACAAATGTAAAATATAGATCTATCTTGTTTGATATTTGATGGTATGCTGTGAATTGTGTTCAATATCTTGGACCTTAAGTCCCTTAGTGATGGTTTTGAAATAATTATACGGTTGATTTAGATGCGAAAATAAAGATAGGTATTGAGAATATGACTGTTACTTAGATGCGTCCAGTTCTTCGAAAAATTACTGATTTGACACTTGAATCGTTTCTCATTCTTCTACTGAATTTTTAACCCAGCTTTGACTCAAGTTTCTTTTTTTGCGCTCGCGGCATTTCTTCGGTGTTTTTTTAAAGCCTCAGAAATCGTGCTTAAGGTCAACTTAAGGGGCTGACCATTTGACTTTTCAGGGGAAGGGGTAGAGGGGTACGGGTGATTTCACAAGGAAATATCTTGCAGACCGATTTTGACGGGAAAAAATATCTTGCGAAGAAATACCTGGGGAAAAAATATCTTGCACCGAAAACACGCCGGTATATGTTGGGGAAAAAAGTTTAGAGGTTTGGGAAAAAGAAGTCTTACCCAAACCAAATCACCCATAGCCTCTCAAAATTAAAATGGTCGACTTCTAATGCGATTTCCGCAAGAATGCTAGTGTTCCTCCACTTTTTTAGAATGTGGCCATCGTGATGGTAGAAATACTTTCCTACTAACCGATTTTGCGGTATGCTCTGGAAGTTTTTTTTTTTTTACGGCCCAAGCCAAGAGCCCACCCAGGCGCGTTAAATCAACAGAAAAAAACTAGGATCCCAGGGAACGGAGCGAGAAAATAAGCTACCGGAGCCCTGATACGGCCCGAAAAATTGACTAATCACAACACACGCACCTACTGAGAGATCTGTTAGAAGAGATTTTATTGAAAATAAGAAGACAAAGATGATGTGTTGTTTGTAAACTCGTTCCCAGGTCTCCGTGCGTGAAATTTGTCCCTGTTGAAAAACTCTTTTATCCGTTTTAATGGCTTTTTTTTGTCTTTGTTTTCACTTTTCCTAATTACTGTGTTTATATGTTTGTTTAAGGAGAGGAAGTCCGAGCTCGGGCGCGGTTTTGGCGCGATCAACAATCAATGGATCGAGCAAATGCAATGGAAATGAGATCCTGTGAGGCTCTGGAGAGAATAGCAGTAGCTGGATGATAATACAGTGTAATTACTTTTACCAAAGTCCATCATTAACAATGTTTGACCTCTAGACTAGTTTTTATAGTGTACGTATATTCAGTGTCAGGTCTCCTTCGCCTCAACGCCCTAACAAGGCTAGTGTTTACAATGCCTATGGAAGACCCCATGTTCTCTCTAATGTAACAGAAAAATGCAGTCGAACCTGGGTTTCCTCTCTACTAACGGCCACCTTTACATTGGCCTCCTTGTTCTCTCTACTCCAGGCCCCAGTTGTTTACTCCTGCGTAGCAGGCGTCGAAGGGGGTAGGGGATTGGGAGGAAGGAAAAAAGGGAGGGGGGTTGGGAAGAGGGTCCCTTTTCCCTTTTGCGATTTTCTTCCTCTCCCCTTTTTGAGTCTGCTACGTAGGCTACAGTTGTTCAAAAGGCAGGATTTGCTATCGTATGGGCAAATATAAAAAAAAGGTCTATAGATTCGAGGACCAGGACGAGATTTGATTTAAAAGTTTTATTCGCTTATTCCCCCCCCCCCCCCCCCCCACAAAAAAAAAAAAAAAAAAAAATAGGCGCCTCGGAAACTTGTATTTAACTTTATTTCACCAGCACGGTTATCACGATTATTTTTATGTAATATGTTTTCGCTCCTAAAAGATTCCCGCGCAAACCTGTACCTGCTTTGTAATCTAAAGGCCTCTACTGTGTGAGGGAAATTAAACTCAGTTAGTATTCCTTTCTCCTTATCCTTATTCTTGTTGGCAGCGATTACCAAAAATCCTTCCCGGCTGCTAATATAAACAGTGAAACATCAGACTAGTGTAAAAAGTGATGTAGATGTACCAACTGACATTACCTGCTTTGTTTTGTCTGACAAATTTGTTCTGAATATTTGGTTTGAGTTTTGTGGATGTATTTTGAGTGTGTGACGCTTTTAATATGCTGGAGTAAGCCCTTTTTTAAATTTAAGTGTTATACACTTTCTCCCGTAAAATGGGTCTTTTCAGACTTAAAAAATCTCACACTTACCTGACTTGTCATAACGCGTTCTCTTACTTTGTTCCTGGGGTAGGCGTTGTGTAGAGGTTCGACTGTATAAAAAGATTTGCAGCACTTTGTGTATATGACGGATTGCGCCATTAACTCAAGTATATTCTAGTTTTTGCTTGCCACCATCCCCATCCGGACACATTCCTTTATTCCAATCTGCAGAAATCCACAATGCTTCAGATTTTACAATTCGGCGTAATTCGTCATAGGAAGGAGAGATAAAGATTCAGCGGTTTTCATTGTTACCCTTGATTATCAACTGTCGATTCAGTGAATGGGTTGGGCAGGTGTCAATTTAATCAACACTAACTAGCACCGAAACTACACTTAACGAGTGTTCTTGTGTTTAATTAATGGCTGTTTGATTAACACTGCAGTCAAATCCCAGTCAGAAAGTTGGGCGATGGGCGTGTAGTTTCTTTTGTTAATTTGTTTTCAAAATTAAATTGTAAGTTGTAAGCTGAAGGCGTAAAAGCAGTTGAAAGAAAAAAATATATATATTGTCCTTTCTACATTTGAGTCCAAATTGCAAGAAATTTGGAGTATTCTGAAACGTGGTTAAGACTCTAACAACACAGTAGTGTAGAAGTTGTTAATATGTTTTAAATAATTCCAGCGGGAAAGGGAAAGATTTCAGGCTAACCACATAGATAAATGAAAAGTTGCAGGACAACATTTGGAGGAGTACACC